TCTCTTCCAGAATCAGCCTTAATATCTCTTCTCAAACGAGATGATTTACAGATAGAAGAAATTAAAATTTGGGATTACGTCGTTAAGTGGGGAATTTCTCAGAATCCTACTCTACCTAAAAACATCGATGAATGGAATAAGGAAAACTTTTTGACCTTAAAAACTACTCTACAACAATGCTTACTATATATTAGATATTTCCATATTCCTGGCAATGACATCTTAGATAAAATCCAGCCATTTAAGAAAATTCTAGATAAACAACTCTGGAAAGATTTGATGCAATATTTAATATCTCCTGACCGACCTGTGAATTCAATTATTTTACCAGCAAGATCAATTCTGATTTCAGAATTACCTACTCGAGAAAAAGAATCATTTTCCACTATCATTACTGATGAACACATTGCTGAAATTTCCTCTTGGATTGATCGTAAATCAAATATTTATTCTTTATCAGATATCCCTTACGAATTTCAATTGATTTTAAGAGGAAGTATAAATGGGTTTGCTCCTCAGACTTTTTGGGATATATGTCATGGCCATTCTCATACTGTAGTGATCATGAAAGTTAAAAGAACGGACGAAATCTTTGGAGGATACAACCCTTTAGCTTGGAATGCAAATACTAATGGTGCTTGGGCACAAACAAAAGATAGCTTTATTTTCTCATTAAAAAATGGTAATATACGAACTTCAATTCTTAGCAGAGTAAAGAAATCTAAATGTGCAATTAATAATATTGAAAAAAGTAGTCAAGGATCATCGGGTCCGTATTTTGGATATACCCTTTTTATGTTTAGTCCTAGTTCTAACTTTACTTTAGATAAAAAGTCTAAATGTTTAAATGATTATGATGATTATGAAAAACCCATTACAAAAACATCATATCGTTTCTCGATTGTTGATTATGAAGTATTCAAGGTTATTAAGAAAACTATTTAGAAATTTTCAATCTTTAGAAATATTAATGACATTCATATTTTATGAATTGTGTCAATATTTTTTTATAATAAAATATCAAATCTTATAATTATTTTAATTTGAGATTGTTGTTTTGTGGAAATCACTCCATAATTGTAGAATAAAGTTAAAAAGAATATAATATATTCGTGATTCTTATATATTATCAAAGAAATTTTTCATTCAAAATTTCGTAGTAAGTATTATTTGGCAACTTTTTTGCGTGTATAATAACAATAAGTTTTAATATTAAGTTGAAATATTTGACTATAATTTATTATAACATACTTTAATCTGCTATTTTTTTTTTATTATTTTTTATCTTACGTGAATAAAAAAAAAAGGTTTAATATTATTTATGAGCGGGGGATTCATAATTATTCATGTAAAGAGCATTACGTTTATGACACATTGTCTCGGTTCAGCGTGTCAACCACATTCTAAAAATTTTATTAATTTTTATCATAATAAATAATTTCTTAAATAACTTGGTATTAATATATTTTCTAATACGTATCGTATAATTCCACAAATTTACATTTATTTTATTAAATTATCAACATATAAATAACATATAAGTAACATATAAATAATAAATAAATAACATATAAATAAATAGCATATAAATAGTATACAATTCAATATTTAATACTTTCCTAGATATAAAGAACCAATAGGCGTGCCGGTTATTGGATTATAATTATTAAGATAGTTTTTTTTTGTCCGGAGCGTAGCGTAGGACATTAGTGAAAATTGATTAGTCATTTTTTCTTGTCACGACATGTGATTTTCGTCCAATAATATAACGTTACGTCATTAAAAACAGCTTGAATTGATGCTATAACAAATGGTTTTTTCTTACATCATTGGAATCTAAAGAATTTGGTAAATTGATTAATTCAATTTCATCAACAGATAAAATAAATGTAAATATTTTTTAAGTTGTTATCATCATCATCATCATCATTAAAAAATTTAAATCATAATATTCCGCTGCCAATATGGCTTTGATTATATTGCTACTCCAAATCCATAAAAATGCTCAAAAAGTCAAAGTTAGCGACCTTTATTTATGATAAAATCGATAAAATCGATAAGAAAAAATCGTAGGGGCTATGAAGATAATATCCATTTTTAGATTTTGGTTCATCTTTTAACTATTTTTGGGTTGCCTGGGTATCTAGTCAGGTAAGTTTTCTAAAGTTTGTCTGGGTAACATATCAATTTTTGAAGTTTTCTCAAAACAGAAAACAAAGGATAATTTGTGGATAACGTGGATAACGTGAGTTAATGTGAACAATGATAATGTATAATGTGAATAATATAATTATAATAAACGGTGGTGAAAAAAAAAAAAAAGTTCAATGATAATTAGTACCCATGAAAATTTTTGGATAAAAATTATCCTATTATGTTTATCTAATGCGTTGCTATTTACATATATTTACATGTTTAATTATTTAACAAATAAATATTAGGTATCACATGATCAATTAAATCTTTATAAAAAGAGTAGTATTGTTAGTTGCATTGCATCAATGATTTTTTTTTAAATTATTTCTACAAAAAAAAAAAAATAAGATACAAATGGATGATGATATAATTCTCGATGACTCTATAAAATCTAATACACCAACCACTTTTACTACATCTACTGCTAGTAATAGTTCACTTTTAAATCGGGAAGAAGAAGACGAAGAATTAAATGAATATGTAACTAGAGGTTCTTCATCAACGGACGAATTACAAAAAAAAGCGCTGGGTTTTGAAATAAATGAAGGGGATATGCCAGATTTTGATCAAATGACACTATCGGCAGCCGAAGCCTTAAATTCAAAGTTGTTAGTATAATTATTATAATATCGGAAAAATTATATGAAAATTACAATAATTCTTATCCAATGACCAAATACAATAATATAATATACTTATATTATACTAATATAATATATTAATTAATATGATATATTAATATAATATATTAATATGATATATTAAATATAATATATTAATATGATATATTAATAATGATATATTAATAATGATATATTAATAATGATATATTAATATGATATATTAATATGATATATTATATGATATACTAATATATAATAATAATCTAACACAATAATCTAATAATATTCTTTAATAATAATAATAATAATAATAGACCTGATTTGGATGATGATTTTACATTTAAGCGTAAACATTCTTCGAAATCAATAAGTAGTCGAATCTTTTCACGATCCGATTCACACTTAAATAAAAGGTCAACTTTGGAGATAGGTCATATATCAACTAGTTTAAGAAAACATAATGATGAAGAATTTGATGGAGATATGTCCGATTGGTCAATAGAAGGAACAGGTCGAAGAGTAGCATATGATGATTTTACTACAATAGGTAAATTTTTTTTTTGTGAATTATTTATTATTTTATTTTATTTTATTTTATTCGCATTTATTTATCTATTTATTTATTTATAATATTGTTTATATATATATATATATACGCATATATATAGATTGGATTCATGATTTTGCTAAAGAACGAGCTCGACAGCAAAGAACTAAACAACAAAAAGGTTTTAAAGGTCGATTAAAAATAATATTTGATGGTATGGAAGGTTGGATAGTTGTATTATTGGTCGGTATGTAACTAAGTTGTGTATATACAATTCATATCCTTATACGTAATTGACATGTAAATTAAATGACATATAAATATTTAATTAAATTTAAATTTATCATATTTATTATTAGGAATTGCATCAGGAATTATAGCGGGTATTATAGACATAACATCAGATTGGTTAAGTGATTTGAAAGAAGGATATTGTCATACAGCATTTTATTTAAGTAGAAAAAATTGTTGTTGGGGTTATGATGGTATTTTTTTATTTATTTTTTATTTATTTATAAATGTTGTTTTTTTTTTATTTTTTAATTCTTTTTTCTTTGCACGATTATACTAAATAATATTTTACTATTTATACTATTTATTATTTATTTATTTATTTTATGGGATTTGTTAAAATTTTTATAAAAGATCATAATCAATGTACTGAATGGATAACTTGGAATGATGCTTTAGAAACAAAATCAACGGGCGCAAAATTTTGGACAAATTATTTTTTTTATATAATATTTTCGGTAACCAATCCATCCAATTAATATAATTAATATTAGATTATATATGATTATTTGAGTTTATCAATATATATATCTATCTGTCTATTATCGTCTATTATCGTCTATCATCATCATCATCATTATCATTATTATTATTTTATTAGACACTTTTCGCTACTGCAGCTGCTTATCTTGTTAAAAATTATTCACCTTATTCAGCTGGTAGTGGTATTCCTGAAGTAAAAACTATTCTGGGAGGATTTGTTATTCGAAAATTTTTAGGATGGTGGACTTTGATAATAAAAAGTATAGGAGTGGTATGTGTGTGCGTGTGTGTGTGTTTTTTTTGTTACTTTATTCTTATTTATGAGATATTATTAATTATTAATTATTATTTTTTTGATAGTGCCTCATTGTTGCATCCAGTTTAAGTTTAGGAAAAGAAGGACCACTTGTTCATTTAGCTTGTTGTTTTGGTAATATTATTCCTAGAATTTTTCCAAAATTTAGATATAACGAAGGTACGTCTATAAATAATAATAATAATAATAATATTATTATTATTATTAATATTAATGGATAATGAAACATATTAATAATTATAATTATTATAATCAATTATATTATTATTGTAATTATAATCATAATTGATTCATTAGCCAAGAAACGTGAAGTATTATCAGCAGCAGCAGCAGCGGGTGTTTCGGTGGCTTTCGGTTCACCAATTGGAGGAGTTTTATATAGTTTAGAGGTATTATTTTTTTTTATTTTATTTTTTAAATTATAAGAATTTTTCTTTTTTTATAGAAGATTTAAATTTAAATTCAATGCATACTAATCATTTAGGAAGCTTCATACTATTTTCCATTAAGAACCATGTGGCGAAGTTTCTTTTGTGCTATGGTGGCCGCGGTCTCTCTCGCTGTAAGAAATTTTATCAATTAATTAATTAATTATTAAAATGATAATAATATTATTAATATTAATAATATTAATATTATTATTGTTATGTTTTAGTTTATGAATCCATTTAGAACTGGAAAACTCGTTTTATTCCAAGTAGTTTATGATAGAGAATGGCATGCATTTGAAATGTTCTTCTTTGCTTTATTAGGAATAATGGGTGTAAGTTTTTAAATTTATTATTATTATTATCATCACCATGATCATCATCATCATTATATTCATTCATCACCACCACTATTTTCATTGTGTAGGGTTTATACGGTGCTCTATTTATACGCATTAATTTAAAGATTGCAACTATTCGACAAGAATCATGGTTACGTTTTTTTAGTGTCCATGAAGTAGTATTTGTCACCCTTTGTGCATCCATAGTGAGTTATTTAAATATTTTTATGAGGTAACGAAACTTTTTTATATTTTTTTTTTTTCAATATTTAATTAAAAGTTTTGAATTAAAACTTAAAATATTTTTATATATTTTTATATATTTTTATATATTTTTATATATTTATATGTATTTTATCTATTTTATATATTATAATGTAAAAGGGTCAACCCATCAGAACTTGTAGCAAATCTCTTCCAAGAATGTTTAGGAGGCGATTATCATAATCTTTGCAAGTATGCATTTGGTAATCATTTCTATTATATACTTTATAATAATTTCATATATGATTTTATAATGATTTTATAATAATAATGATGATTTTTTTAATAAATTTTTTTAATAATAATTTAATTATTTGATCTTTGACTAAAAAAAAAAAAAAAAAAAAATCAAATTTTATATATCACATAAAAGATATGAAAGTCATTGGAAACCAGCATTATTACTTTTAATTGCATCAATATTAAAATTTTTTATTACGGCCGTAACCTTTGGATTGAAAGTTCCTGCTGGAGTATGGTTACCATCTATGGCAATAGGTGCATGCTTTGGTAGAGCTATTGGATTATTGGTTTATGCTTTACATAGGTAAATATCTTTCTTCTAATTCTATTTTTATGAAAGTTGTAATCTCATTAAATTTTGATTTAAATTTAATTTAATTTAATTTATTTAATTTTATTTATTTTATTTTATTTTAATTATATTTTTATTTTATTTTTATTTCATCTTATTCTTTATTTTATTTTTATTATATATTTTATTTTCATTTATATAGTGTGGCTCCTGATTTATGGATTTTCTCGTCATGTGAACCTGATGTACAATGTATTACACCAGGAATGTACGCTATGGTTGGTGCTGCAGCGACTTTTGGTGGAGTAACGCGTATGACAGGTAAGAATAAATAAATATGTTTATTAAATTAATAATTAATTATTAATAAATAAAGTCTGATGATCCAATTTTATTTTATTAGTGTCATTAGTGGTAATAATGTTTGAATTAACCGGTGCATTGACTTATGTTCTTCCTATAATGGTAGCAGGTAATTATTATTTATTTATTTATTTATTTATTAATATAATGTAAATATACATATAAATATAAATATAAAATATTTTCTAATGCATAAATAATAATTATATTATTATTTATATAGTAATGATTAGTAAATGGGTTGGAGATGCATTTGATAGAGAAGGAATTTATGATGGATGGATTCGTATTTGTGAATATCCATTCTTAGATAGTAAAGAAGAATATGTTTATAATACATCTGCGTCACAAGTTATGACTCGAGTTGAAGATTTATTGGTAATAACTACTACTGGACATACTTTAGAAAGTTTAGGTAATATGTTTATGTATTTTGTTATTTTATTATTTTATTATTTTTTATTATTTTTTTTTTATTATTTTATTATTTTTATTATTTAATTTATTTTTTTTATTTCTTTATTTATTAACATATTATAATTTATTTTTATTTATTTATTTATTTATTTTATAGAGGAATTACTCAATGAGACTGAATATAAAGGATTTCCGGTGGTACATAATTCGAGAAATATGTTATTAATAGGATATATATCAAGATCTGAATTGAGATATGCAATGGGTGAGATTTTATAATATTTTATAATTTACTAATTATTACAATATTCATAATATTTTTATAATTATTTATAATTATCACGATATTTAAAATATTAATATTATAATAATATTATTATAGAAAAAGTAAAGAGAAAACAAGGAATATCAAGTTCGGCTCCTTGTTATTTTTCCAGCAATATTCCTATCCTTGATTCTACAATTTTTGTTGATTTTCGACCTTGGATGGATCAGGTATTTTGTTTATTTATTTATTCATTTTTATCACTTTTTTTTTATCACTTATTTTTATCACTTTTTTTATTATCACTTTTTTTTTTTTTAATTCCACTTTTGCTAATTAATTAATTCATAAATAAATAAAAAGACACCAATTACTATCTCTCACAAATTCCCAATGGAAATGGTTATTGAAATATTTAGAAAAATGGTAAAAGAAAAGATAATAATTTACTAAGTAATTGGCTAAATTATTATTAAAAAAAAAAAAAAAAGGATAAAGATTAATTTTATTATCATTTCTTAATATATTTGTATAGGGTCTTCGTTATGTTTTGGTTACAAAGAATGGTCAACTTCTAGGATTAATTACTAAAAAATCTGTCTTACGTCATCTTGCCGCCATTCATCATCCAGTGAATTCTGATGATTTTAATGAAAATCTTATGATGTTACCAGAGAGAAGAATGTCAAGTTTTGCAGGAGAAAACTTTGGAACTGATTAAATTAAAATATTCTGATATTTTTTATTAGTTAGAATAATCAAATCAAATTGTACTTTTAAATTTTTTTAATTCAAAAAAAAAATAGAGATTATGTAAATTATAAAATTTATATTATTTTAAACCATTCCATTTTATTTGACATAACAGAGTAATAATAAATTTATTTTAAGTAAAAAAAAAAAAAAAAAAAAAAAAAAAAAAGGAAGGAATCTATACATTTATGATGATTTTTTGATTTTGATAATTTGATAATTTGATTATTTTACCAATCTTCAATTTCATTTTTAATCATATCTTCAGTATCCATTACTTCTATATCATGAACTCTAAATAATTTTTTAAGTGGATCAATGAAAGGATCAATTGAAGTTGAAGTAATAGTTTTAATATATTTCTCTGCATCAGCTAAAGATTTATTAGAAAAAAATGATCGATCAGGTTTTTCTTCATTTATATCATCTAAATCCATTGCATTATTATTTTTTTTCTTTTTATTCTTATTCTTGTTATTATTATCGTCATCATTATTCATTTCATCTTCATCTTCATCAGTATCACCTCCAATTATCCAATAAACTCTATCAAATGTAACTTCTATTAATTTTTTGGTTAATTTCGCATGATTCTTAATAATCTTTAAATGTTTATCTTCTAATCCGGATGCTTGATGTAATCCTAATTCTTCAAAAACTTGATTACTACGTTGTAAAAAGATTTCTAATTGATGAGGGGTAATTTCAAAATCAAAATCTACACATTTTAATGAAATCGGAAAATGATTTCCTAAATCTTTAAGAATTTCCCCTAATTCAATTTGTGGTAAATCAGAAAAATAATGAATATTTGATTGTAAAGTTCCTAATATTAAGGTTTCTAATTTTGAAATAGTTAACCAATCCGTAAATGTTGAAAATTTGGTATCTGAATAAATTGTCAAAGCCAAATATTTAAGATTTGGACAAAATTTATTAATTCCTTGAATAATTGCTTCTGTATTATTATTAACTACGGTTAAACTTTTCAAATTTTTTCCCACCAATCTTAATATTGATTTTAATGTATTTGATTCGAGTCTATTTTTATAAAAGTATAATTCTTTGACAGTAATTAATGTAATTGATGACCTGGAAGATGATCCGGTAGATAATTTATTATTATCTTCTAATTCCATTTCATCCCTTTTCCTTTTCCCTTTATTATTATGATTATGATTATTATTATCAATATTTTTATTATTATTGTTGTGATTATAATTGTTATTGTAATTACTATTATTATAATTATAATTATTGTTATTATAATTATTGTTGTTGTAATTATAATTGTTATAATGATAATTTTTATATTCCATACATCTTACAAGAGTCAAAGATTTTAATACTTTACAATGAGACAAATATTCCAATAAATGAATATCAATTGGAACTCCAGATAAATTAAAAGATACTAAACTATTCTGTGTTGCTTCACCTAAATTAACCATTAAATTAGGCCAAAGTTCAAAATTTCTGGCTGTAAAAAATTTCAGATTCTTTTGAACTCCCACCAATCTAAATAATTGTCTCATTTCATTCTTTTCATTTGAATAATCTTTGGCATCAAGATATTCTAAATTATTACAATATTCTACTATCTTTGTAAATAATTTATTGGCTGAATCTAATCTTTCCGTTGTAACCTTACTATCCGCATAATTCGTATGTACTTTTAAATGTTTTAAATCTGTAAATACTATCTTTAACATATCCGGTATTTTCACTAATACTGGTGGAATTCCTACACTTTTATATGAAGTTGATAAATCAATCATTTCAAATCCTTTGGATGAAAGAAATAATAATTTAATTAAATGATACATTAAACTTGTCATCATCTTAATTATTATTTTTAAATTTGGATTATAATCCGATTCCAATTGATTAAAACTTTTATCAAATAAATCTTTATAAGCTTTAGAAATATTTCTACTTTCAAGAAGCCAAGAATATGCTGCCTCATGTAATTCGTTATAACTAAATTTTTTAATATATTCTGGATAATAGTAAATAGGTTTTGAATTTTTTGGTAAATTAGGTAAATAAACTCCAATTTTTGAAATGGATTTTCTTTGTTCTGATGATAAAAAATTCAAATAAATTTCTATAATCGGAGCTCCCCATGATAATGGATCTTCCCAAAGTAAAGGTAAAGCCACATTACACCAAGATTTATTCACCAATATACAAGAACGTAATTCGGGATCTGATAATTCTTTAAAAATACTTAATAAGATATTATCTGTAAATTCGTAGATATTTGAATATCTACTACTTCTAGTTTTACCCATCATTTTTTTTCTTTTTGTTTTTTTTCTTAAGAAATATAAATAAATATAAGTATATATATATGTGTGTATGTGTGTGTGGGGATATAGATAGATAATATTAGATATATTTCGTAAGCAATATATATATGTGTATATATATAAACATATATAAAATAGAGTTAAGAAATTTGAATATTTTTTTCAAGTCTGGGAATATTTTTTTTTTTTTTTAAAAAAAAAGGATCAGATCATTGAAATCAATAAAAAATTATGGGAGTTTTATCACGGGGTGACTTAAAATGCATCATGTGCCAAATTCGTCATCATGTCACGTCTGTCATACATATATGGCAAACGTTGTTTTTTTTTTTGTACTTCTCAAATGTGCTTGGCCATTATTAATTTATACTTGTTATTAAAAATTGTAAAATATACATAATATAATAATATAAAATATTTTATTTAAATGCTTTCCATTTTTAAATATGAGGAATATGGTATGGAATGTCGGTAAGGTTTAATATATTCGGAAAGATGGACTAATTGAATTTAGTCATATTTATCTATTTATCCGCGAAATAAAAAATGAACCTTTCAACCACCCTGAAACCAATTGATAATTGTCAATTAATTGCTTATTTGATTTTTTTTTTTTTGTTCGTTCAGAAACTTGGTACAAGATTCCGATTCTAGTTGCTGCGTCCGGAATTCCTTTTTTTTGCTATAAAGATATTTTTGTAGGAAAAAAAGATGCAATAAGAACTTGAAAACTTATTGGGAGTTAAAATAATCTAGAATATGGACTAATGTTGGTGAAAATGATTTAAAACTGAAAAAAAAACGAAATGGCTGATAATGATTTACATGTGTAAAATTTAATTTATTGAAGAAAATTTTTTCAAAAAAAGAATAAAATCAAACAATAGAAATAAAAAATTATTTTAATTATTCTCAATACGAATTTCGTTGCAACGAATCAATATGAAAAGTGTTCAAAGTTTTTTTATAAGTTAGTACAGGAATTAAAAAAAAAAATCATCAGCAAAAATCATGAGGATTGAGGGGAAAAAAAAGTAGAGAATAAGGAAAATTAACGAAAAGGTGATTACAAATAAATGCAATACATATGAGTAGATTATAAAATTTTATAAATTGAGTATTTTACATTAATGTTGTTATTGTTGACTTTTTTTTTGTCATTGCTACTTCATTTGTTCTCGGCATTTCTTAATCCCTTCAATGCGGTTTACTTATATATATTTTTTCTATTTTTTTATAAATAGTAAAAGAAGTAAAGGAATTGCTATTTGTTAGTATTATTTATTATAATTATATCAATATACTTACTATTAAGTCTTTCTTTATCTATTATAACAGGAACTTGTTAATTTTAATAACAGTAATATCTCAGCTTTAGATGCTGTATCAGTAAATTGATGTTAATTCACAAGATGGTATTGATGCAGTTTCTTGAGTTAACTTAATTTTAATGTCAACACTTTTTCTTTCCTGTATTACTAATTCTTCTGGTACTACTTTAGATATTTCATTGGTATCTTCATGGATTAAATGAATCTTATTGTTAAAGCTTTTCTTCTGTATCACCAAAACTTTTTAACTCTTTAGATGCTTCATTGCAATTGATGAAGTTTCTTGGGTTGAATTAGTTTTACTGTTAATGCTTTTCTCTTTTGGATCACTGAAAACTTGATTCTTCTGGTAATGTTTTAGGTACTTTCTTGGGTTGAATTAGTTTTATTGTTAATTCTTTCCTCTTTTGGGTAAATGATACTTGATTCTTTTGATAACTCTTCAAGCATTACATTGATAATTGGTGCTGATTCGATAGATGGGTCAGATGCATCATCTTGGATTGAATTAATGTTACAGTAAACTTCTGGATCACTAAAACTCGATAATACAATTTTAGATGAATCCCAGTAATCAATGTTGGTTTGTTTCTTCCTGTGTTGGATTAATGCTTTTCTCTTCTGTATCACTGATATTTAATAATGATTATATAGGATATAGTTCTTTCAAAATATATTTTCAATATCAATTAAATTTTTCTCTCTTAAAATTTAAAGATTTAGGACATTGAGGATATACTTTTAAATATTTATCAATATCCATTAGTACATCACAATATATGTGCTCTATAAGAACCAATTTTCATTTAATGCAGAATTTATTTTTTGTGATGAAGATTGTGATGCAAATTTTGAAAATGATTGAAATATAGTATGATTTTTCTTTTTCTGCAATTATCTAATGTTATTAATATTCTGTGACATCTGATTCATGGTTTCCCTCGTCATACTTTATACGTTTCCCAGGACCCCCCCAGCTTTAAAGTGCAAATGTAAACCATTTTTTCGTAATAGATACAAAGGTTAATAGTCATTTAAGGATTGCATAACTATTGGATCGACCATTTTTAAAGCGGGACACAAATATGGACCAATACATGATACATGAATGTTTTTATTGTTAATTGAATGTTCCAAACAAATATTACCTCGAATATAAAAATATAGATTTTGTCCACAGAATAAACAGTGACAATGGTGAAGAATACAATTTTCAGTTTTGTGTAATTTATTTTGATCAAATATAAAATGTGAATAATCAAGGTTTTCTAATCGTTTGTTTACTTCTTAAACAGCACTCTTATCAACTTGCTACATTCCTATTAATTGCCACAACTGTCTTAAATTATCTGGGTTTTAAATTGTTGAATTTTCTCATCAATTATATCAAATAATTGCACAAGGCATTATATATTTTGTTCCAAGTTTCATCATCACTTATTTCTGGAAGCAAAATTAAATGAATTTCTATAAAGTCATCTTGTTTTTTACCATTTTCACTATCAGTTTCACTTAATTCTTCATTGTTTTGCTACCAATAACCTTTTTATATTAAATTCAAATGTAAATTTTTCGTTGGCATCAGGAATTTCATCAAATGTGAAGATTTGATAAGTTAAGATACGCACATTAGAATTTATATTCTCCATTTAATAACCGAGTCTAATATAAATAACAAAGATCCTTGAAAGTAGAATTTTAAAAATGAACATATCACATTTATCATAGTTGTAAATTAAAAGTGATCGGCATAATTTCACAATAAAGATAAACAAAAAAAGAGTCCCGAAGCTTTTACCATTCAAAGACATCGTTGTAAAATTATTCGTTGGTTTTTAATGAACGCAATCTTTTTGTTCCTTGTAATTTTCAATTTCATGTAAAGCTTTAAAAGTGTATCATATAAAATTATAAGACCTAGATACATATGTCTTTGTCTTGAATGCTATCGAGAGAATGATGCAACGTGGCAAAGGAAAAAACCTTCAAATACTGGATTGCAAAAATGATAGGAAATAATTGCTAATTGGTTATCACTAACTTCGATAAATGCAAAAAAAGATTCATTATTAATCTCAGTATTTAATGCAAGTAAAGATCATTTTTTAGTTCCTACTCAAAATACATTTTCAAATGAAAATAAAGAAAAGAAATTGAATTAAATTATCCATGATTAAAATAATTTTTGGATAATGTTATTTACAAACCAAATAAAAAAAAAAGTCAAAAAAAGATTATTTGATTTAAAATAATGGTAGAATAAGAAATGAAAAAAAAAGTTGTCATTCCTAATACAAATATGATATAACAAACCATTTTCAAAATTTTTAACATTATTTTATCTGGGTTCATACCAGAAATAGAAGAATAAAATATGACAAAGAAAACATAAAACAATTTCATCATTGAAATTATTAAAATAATTACCTTTTAAGCTTCAATTTTTATTTTAGTATTGCTACTGACAGTTTTAGCAAGTCTGGGACGAAAATCCGATTAATATCTTCATTACATCATTTTTTAACAATGGTCATGTCATTGGACATACGGAAAATTTGAAAGAAATAAAGAAAGGGATCGTATGAGTAATATAATTCCATCTGAGTGTTTTAAAAAAGAGAAGAATATTTAGAATCTTGCTATTATTAATAAAATTTAATTTTAAAACCAAAAGCTTTCTTGTTGTAACATATATGATGTAATTCAAGAGGAACCACATAATACATTGTGATAATATTACAATCAAATCTTTCTAGTAATTTTGTATCTCCAGAACTAATAGAGAATAATGAAGAAACTCGTCTATTTAGAATGAATTTAGGTAATCAAAAAATTTTCGAAAAAATATTAGATTTTCAATAATTTAACTTACATTCACTTTTATTTTATATAATTCATAGCCGACATTAATTAACATTACTTTTTTTAAGTAAATAGGAAGAATTTGAGTGCAGAGAATTTTCACTAAGAAGAGGAAATCTCCCAATCTTTTATTGAATTAAATTTAAAAGTTATATACTGATCTTATTTTACCAATAAAATTTTTCAATTGTATAGAAATATGGATTATATTTTATTAATTATATTTAATCTATTGTCAATAGATAAATAATAATTTATGTGGACTAAATATGAGATGATATGAGATGATAATTAACATGCGATTTCTTTATTTTTATTAAAAGCAGAAATCCCGTGCCTTTGGCCGGAAACTGAGCCGATGACGTATCCCACATCAAAAAAAAAATAATTTATTGCATTGGATCACATATGACCTACCAATATATATATATAAGAGCAAAAGAACTCTTTATTGATAATTTTACTATCATTGCTATCAGGCGAATATAAAATCTTAACTCGGGATACAGAAGTGCAATGGGAAAGAACTACATAGCTAAAAACATGAGTACACAAATCTATACCTATGTATTTAACAGATTGACTTATTAACAGTCATTGTAAAGGCTAAACAGATGGAAACAATCACTGTTGTCTTAAAAATGATACTTTCGCATTATTTTTACTATAGTTTCATGTATCAAGTATTTATAGTATGAGCGTCATTATTCTAGACCCTGGGCAATACAATAGTTATTTTTACATAAACATTAATACAAATTACTAGTGTTTATATTCATAATTTTATTTAATGCTTAATAAAAATCAATGCAAGGAATAAAATTTAGACAATTATAAAAATAACTAAGGATCAAGATAAAGATAATTGCAAATCCTACCTATAAATTCTCAAACCCACAAACCCAATGAAAATTTACATTTAGTTTTTCTTAATTATTATTAATTATTACATTAAATATTCCCTTATTATATTTCTAATTTTATTTTTACCCTTTGAAAATTGCCAATCTGTCATATTAAAGCAACTGATCTATTGACCTAAGTTCTCTAAAGTTGATAAAAATCCGCCAAAAATACTTCAAAAACAGTTTAACTATTAAACTAAATGAATTACTTTCTACTTTCAGCTTCGTAGACCTCTCTTGAACTGTGAAATTACCTTCCCTCTTAGTCTAGATCCATAAAATGGTACTGCGCCCTATTAAATCATAAAACTAATCCTAAAAGTGATCCAAAACAATAGTTAGTGCCTGAATACTGAAGAAACAATAAAATAAATTTAATATTATTTATTTGAATCCATATTAGTCCTCTCTTGAACTGTGAAATTACCTTCCCTCTTAGTTTAGATCTAGAAAATAACTAATTTATACTGTCACATTCACCCACAGACCTATGAAACTGCTTACAATGAGGGAAGGAAAGAAATAAATGAATTATAAGGCAAGAAACAAGGTAAATATAAATTTTATTAAAAAAAAATGAATACAATTTATATAAATCCGTGAAGCCAATTTCTACTTTCATATTTGCTCAATCAAACCTGCAAACCTGCAAACCTGCTCACAAGAAGAGAAGGAAAAATAGATAAACTATAAATATAAGAGGCAAGGTATGCATAAATTTCTATTAAAAAAATAATTTGTAACTATTCTTATAAGCCCATGAAGTCTAAAAAAAGATTATCAAATTTAAATATAAATAAACAAATTAAAAACTTCTAAATTAGGAAAGAAGTTCAGATCTAGTGACCTGATCTCTGTGTCTATAGTTATTTATACTAAAGTTTTAGAGATCAGGATCACTTGACTCACCACCAATTATAATTGATTTTTGTCTCTTTCATTCTGTTTTATGTAATAGATAAGTTTTTTCTTTATTTATATTCAGATGGACGATCAAACAAATTAATTTAATATAAAGAATAGGATATCTCTTGATAGGTTAAGACATCATCCTGTACTACAGGTGTTCTAATATTTAGTATGATCATGTTGTAATTTGGCTTCTTCACAGAATTATTTGGAGCATAGTCTGTTGAGCATTTCAGTTATAATATCCCACCTAGTTACATAAATTATAATTGCAATCACGAATAAAAAATATCAGAAGTATTGAATGACATTTTTTAATAATGTTCAAAAAAACGATTTATTTTTTTTCGATTTATTTCTTGCTTCAAGCTATCACTCTATGAAATAGTATAATTCTACATTGATCAATATTAGTGAATATTTAGTTAGGAATTACCAAGCTTCCATAATGAAATCAATATGAAATCAATATGAAATTGACGCTTTTAATTTTCAATTTATATTGACATTAATTGAAATTATTACAAGAAATGAATCAATTGCTTGACTGATTATATCATATATCAATAGCAATTGTACCCAAATATTCATTATGCGAGAACGTGCATCAATAAATGACCAGGTCCGCTCCGGATTTACACCTGTAATGTTTCAAAATCCTCCCAGGCTTGGTTACAAACTATTATGAAACAGTAATTTAAATCAATACGATAATTTTAACATCAGGAAATTTTTAATAGCAAATATATCCGGATATATTTGCCTTAAATTAATTCGAATATATTCGACCACCCCC